CAATGGTTGAAGATTGTTGTGTGCTTCTCAAATCAATTCTCATTTTCAACCACACATCCTTCAATAAAATAATATTTTCCATCACATCAATAATTTTTTCTTCTTTTTCAACTATACATTTCCCATCATATCACTATTCAAAAATCAATTCTTCCCCAAAAAATCTCAACCAAACACACTCTAAATTAAGAAGGTTGGAAAGGAAGGTTGAAGCATATAATGTAAAGTGAAGTAGTTAAGCTACAATTGTACATTTCATTCAGAATATTCTTACATGACATACAAAATTGAGTAAATGCGCCTTCTAATTCCACTGGTCAGTACAGTTGATATCAAAGAAGCCATGTCTGATGAAAAGGATGATAATGCACACCTGGATTAGCCCCCACTACTTGCTACATTATGTTTCAGTTGTAGAGCTTGTTTGGTAGAGATTAAAATCGGATTAAAGTTGAAAAACTAGCCGTTATTGTTTACTTTTATTAGACGAGTGGAACCCAATAATGACTATATTTTCAATTTCAATTGGATTAAAATTCCTTCAAACAAGCTCGTAATTACAAAATTATTACTACTAGATTCTGCGCATTTTGACATTTAGTGGGATTTCCTTGTAAGATTGGACCTTTTTGGCTGCTTGGCGTGATGGCCTGCCGAAAGAAGATCTTCCAAACTGTTGAGGTTCATATATTGTCGCAGAAATGCATTCCTTAACTTTGTTGTTTACTGCTCCACTTACTGAAACTGAATTATCCTCCAGGACTGGATCATCAGGCAACGAACATACTGGAAATCTGGCATCATGTATCTCGAACAAATCCTCAGCAGGCTCTTTTTCTTTAGCTTTAAACCTGGAAGATTGCCTCCTCAAAGAGGACCTGTCAAGACAACCCCCAAAAAGCAGGGGAAGGGAGAAAATCAAACAAGGCTTTTTCTGCAATATAATGAGAAGCTATGTTTTAGGATTATATCTAGACTATGTAAGAGTGACCAGAGAAAAACCTTTTCTTTGCAGCCTTATCCTTAGATTGGACTTGTTCAGACGAACCTAGAATAACCCAAAGGGATTAGCATGCCAATCTTCCTTCTTAAACTTAAATGAAGCAGTTTAGAAAATGTACTTACAGTATGATTGTGACCTCTTCCTTGTATTTCGAGGTTCTTTATCTCCTCTATCTTCCTTCAAGGACTCACCTGGTTCTTCATATTTGATCAAATTCACCTTCAGAAATTTTAAGCAGACATTACACGGATTAAAAATTTAAACCCAAAAGTCGATGACAACATACAATGTGTATACAACTGCAGATTAGATATACAGGTAAAAATACATGTTGAACAGAAAAATACTGAACCATTCACAGATCAACTCTTATACCTCAGCATCAATGTCTTGGCAAGGTTTCATTTTTGCTTTTTCCTGGGTAAGCAAAAAAAAACAAAAACCAATTAATCGACAATATACTGACTATTTTGCTGCTACGAACGCCTTAAAATTGCAATAATTACCGCAAGCTGCAACTGCCTTGCTCTTAGCAAACCATTTTTGCATCCAAGCTCATGTTGTAATGCTCTCAACTGAAACGTTTACAGCATCAAACAAACATACTGGTTCCAAATAAATGACACGTGGACTCGGAATATAGATATTCAAAAAGAAAAATAACAGTCTTGTGTAGTCAAGCACATACCCGATCTTTAACTGAATTTAGTTCCTGCAAATTCAATGAAGCAGTGAATATCAACTTTAAAATACACAATCTAAAGAGAAAACTATGGTATGCAACTACAGATCCAATCTCTCAATTGTGGTAAATACAGGAATTAAAAAACAGACCGCGAGCATTTGGGTGTTGGACAGGGCAAATTGTTGATTCTGTTCCTGCATTTTAATCAGGTTTACTCGCAGTCTTTCTAACTCAATCCCACTCTGTTCAATGATTTTGCTGTCAAGAAAATATTTAAGGAATACAATGACAACCAGTGTACAGGGCTAATCAAAACCAAAAGACGTTCCAGCAATGAAAAATAGTGACAAGTAAAAGCAAAGATTAAAAGAAAAAGTTAATCCTAAGAGGATACTTTCTCTGTGCCAGCATCGTTACTAGAGCCAAGTGTTCCTGAAGCAAAGTTGCAATTTAGAAAAATCATATACACATAAACAAATAAAATGATCATACAGATTACAAAACTTACGAATGGATTACCTTTTGGAGCTGGTCAATATACTCTTTCGTAGTTCTTGAAATAGGTTGTGGTTTATCATCTTGAAATGAGGGCCTAGATTTTTGTGGCACATTGCTAATGTCAGCCAGCTTTCGCCTTGCCACACTTCCAGGACATGGCATCGTTGTTTTCTCACCTTTAAGTTTATCTAGAGTTTCCATCAAGAAATTTAAAACTAATCAACAATTACTAGGCCCAAAACCATATAATTTCTGCAGCAGACAAACCCGGACGATAGAACCCGGAGATAATTATCAATTAGAAAATGACCTAATTCTTTTATTCAAAGCGATAAAGCCCTAATCACCACAAAAGATCACAAATTCACAATTAAATCTATAGCACAGATTATTAAGTTTCTTTGTTCAAATTGAATATCTTCCCGAGTGAAATACTTAAAAATTCATTACAAGTTTAATGATCCAATCTCTTGCTGAATTTCGCAAAGCGCTAAAAGCAAAACCACCCCTTAAACCATACAGTTACGAATAGAGTCAAGAGTGAAACAACAAATCACGTGAATTTCGTACAAAAGCATATAAGTACAACAAAAATAGGGTTCACATACATATTCAAAAAGCTCATGGTTTTGCTATTAGTAAAAAATTTAAATTTACCAGAAAAAATAATCACAAATTACTAGAATCAAGAACTACCTCCGACTGTTACAGAATTCTCCGAACCACGAAACACAAAACCTTCCATTTTCCGCTTCGAACCTTAATATACTTCTCTCTCGAAATTGTTCGACCAACCCGAATTTACATTATTGCCAATATGCCTAGCTTTCTCTCTCTATCTGGGTGTGCGAGTGTGGGTGAGAAAGAGAGTTCCTGGATCACAGATTGAATTTAAATGGGGAGGGAAAATGAATGGTGTGGTTTGGAGTTTCCGAAGCAAATTCCTGACCTACTTTGAATCTTACAACACGCGGGCCCAGAAAAATAAACCGAAGTGGTCCGAATTCATTATGGAAAAAAGTTTGGGCCGGCAATTGGTACAGAAAGCAAAATTGACATAAATAGCACTGATTGAGTTTCTCGTTTAAATGTAATATTTATTATTGATGGTTCCAATCATTTTGTTTTGTTTCGTGTTTATTTCACGAGTTTTGCTACACAAACATAATGTTTGACATAAAGGATAACACCACACACACACATGGGGGAGGTCGACATTTTTTAATTCAAGTCGGGACCCACATGCAATGTGAGGGGTCGGTCAACCCCTATGTCAAGCATTATGTTCATTCAGTTTAATTCTTATTTCACTGAGTCAATTTTGAGGATGAGTATACTACATACAATGTAGTTATAACAATTGCTTTAGTTCAAAGAATTTTTTGGGATGACTCTTGTGATAGATAGAATCACTTGAAGATAGCTATTTTCAATAGATCTATGAAGTTAACTACGTAAGAGACATGGATTGAGGTGAAAGGGAGAGTTGCGGCTATGTTTTTATTTTCTTTTTCTTGTCTTTCAAATTCTCTTCTTATTAATTTTCGGTATTTACTCATTTTAGTCTCATAATAGTGCTCCACGTGCTTTGCAGATGAGATTTCGATGATAAAATGGACGGTTTCGATCTATTAAAGACCACAATGCAACTAAGTGAGAAGATTGATTCTGAAATTTTCATGTGAAAGGTTAGCAACCAACATACTACATAATAGGGTTGGAGATATAAGCAATAGTTTTGGAAACTTATACCCCCATAAATGTGCGAGGTTAACTAGGGACGTGCTACAAACTAAAAAAAGAAAAAAAATTAAAGTTCATAAATGTGTGATTAAAAAGTTGTGGACCCCACAAAATATGTGAATGAAAAATTTAGATTTTAATTTCCACCAAACATGAACTATAAATCCCAAGCTAGAATGAGTGCAAGAGAGTATTGCTTGTGATTGACATTTTGAGGAAAAAATCCATTTCAGTTAGAAACTATCCTTTAACACAACATATACCCAAGAATCTTATTACTTGGATTCTATGAAATGTTTTCATGAGATGACAAAGATTCAAATGTAATAAATTTATTAAAAAAAGTATTTCTTTTGTCCAAATGATTAGCATGCATTTGGTTTGCTGTTTTTAAGTTATTTTCAGTTTTGTAAAATATTCGAAACTTGTTTGGCCTGTTATTTCTGAAAATATATTTTCAAAAATAAGATTAAATTTATAATATAAACTCAAAACACGAGAAATTAGCGTTAAGGTTGTCTGCTACACAACTCATAGTTCGGATACCTCCATTGTTGTGTTTTATAATATTGCTACGACGGGTCTGGGCAGAGTCCAGTGACACACAAAAGTAAAAAGGATAAAAACACGATAACATTTTAGATATGATGATTACTTGAATAATAAGACGATCTAAATCGAAAGTATTTCACAAGCATACTACAAAATTAAGAAAATCACATGATTTTGTCTTTAACGCAGGTCGATCTATCGCGTGGAATGTATTCATTTTTTTTATCGAATGCTTGAAAAGACAATTTTGTATTAATCTAACTCAACTTGAATATTAAATGAACCTTTCTTTCGGCTTATATATAATATTTATACGAGTGGATTGGTACAATTCCATCTTGAGAGGACGAAAATGGATACTTTCTTCTTGGGACAAAGTAACTGTTAACTTTTGGACTTCGTAATACTTTAGCTGCGTCCATCGCCTTTCTGATTCAGCTTTTTCTGTCTCGAGGCAATGCATAAAAGCATTTCTTCCTTCTTACACAAATACACGTAGATTCATCACTATCAACGTTGTGTTCGTGTGAAAATTTTCCTTTTGCAAGGAAGTCAATACTTGTAACATGCTTGGTTGTGTGTGAAAAAAAAAAATGGTTCAACAATTCATCGAAAATAAGATTTGAGCAATATGGAATTGAATATCTATACGAGGGAATATGCTGGAGACGCTTTTGAATACATTAACGATGATTGTGAGTTGAAAGATATGGACTTTCAAAACTTCATATCCAATAATAAATTTACACAATCTCCTTCAAGATAACGAATACAAAATGACAACTGTCGAAAAAATTTCCTACTTGACTTACGATGATGAAGAGTATAATTAGGACACAGAGTGTAATCTATTGGCTTTTACATTGTATTCCTCTCGTTTTCATCCTTTAAATGAATGTCATACCGAACCTCCTCCTAACGAAAAAGGAGGAGGGTGCGTGCATTCATGATGATTTTTTCTAAAATAATATTTCTTGCTAAATTGAATGAAACTCAAATAATTAGATTTTCCCGTCGAAAATTTGGAAGTTTTATATGTGATTTTTTTTTTTTTTTTTTTT